AAACCTGTGTGTCAGGCCACTGACCTGGCTCAGCAGGGAAAGGTACAGCCAAATTTGTCAACTTGAGTTTGGTTCCCAGGACACACATGGTAGAAAGAAAGAACTCCCACAAGTTGACCTCTGCTCTCCCCACATGCCTACACACATGCACACACCTGTATACAAACTAAATGAAATGCAATAATTAAATTAAAAAACTATGCTAGGTTATTTGCAGTATCAAAAAATAATAAAAGGACTTCCTAGCTTTAAGGAGTCAATAACCTTATCCATAATAATAAGAGAAAAGTACAAAGACACACCCTTGGCGCTACAGGGACACAAACTTACCAAACAAGGCAAGGCATAAAGCAGACCTCTGCGAGGTGTGAACACCCCTAAAGGATGAGCAGGAACTATCCTGTTAAGGACATTTCCACAGAGGGAGCAGTCTGAGCAAAAGGCACAGAGATAAGAAACAGCATGCTATATTTCAGGAAACAATGAACAGCTGCTAAACGTTGCTTGAGGCTAGTAACACCAAGATGGGCCAGAATGGGGCGAGCTGTCAAGACAGGGAAAGAAGAGGAGGAGTGAAAAGACTTCAACCTCCTCCAAAAGACACCATGGATGTGCGAGGACATGATCAAAGGAAGTGATTATTCCGGAAGCAATGTAGAGGTGGGATTAAAGGACAAGGCTAGACAAGAAGAAGTCTAGCTAGTAGAAAATGTTGACTGTCCCGACAGCAGCTGTAAGACACAAGACAAGAAAGCAACTGCTATACCCAGATGGGTGTGGATCCCAGTGCTCAGAAGACAGAGGCAGGAGAACCCTGTGAAGCTTCTGGACTAGCCTGGTCTACACAGTAAGTTCTAAGACAATGAGGACTACAAAAAGAACCTGTCTCAAATGGGGGGGAGTTGGGGGGAGAGCCACACCTTACCGGAAGAAAAACTATATACAAAATACTGTTGCCTTTAATCCCAGCACTTGGAAGGCAGAGGCAGAGGGATCTCTGAGTTCCAGGCCAGCCTGGTCTACCAGGCAGCCAGAAATACAGAGAAACCCTATCTTGAAAAACCAAATCAGGCCGGGCGGTGGTGGCGCACGCCTTTAATCCCAGCACTTGGGAGGCAGAGGCAGGCGGATCTCTGTGAGTTCGAGGCCAGCCTGGACTACCAAGTGAGTTCCAGGAAAGGTGCAAAGCTACACAGAGAAACCCTGTCTGGGGGAAAAAAAAAAGAAAAACCAAATCAAAAAATAAGAACAATAAAATAAAATAAATGCCAGTCACACTAACTACCTATTAACCTACCCTAGAGTAAGCAGATTTTCTTTTTATAAAGGGCCAAATAGTAAAATTTCAGCTTTAGTTCCACATACAATCTTACTCTAGTTTGTTTTAAGACAGGGTCTCTGTGCAGCCCTGACTTTCCAGGAACTCAATATGTAAACCAGGCTGGCCTAGGACTCACAGAGATCTAACTGCCTCTGCCACACCTGGCTCTCTTCTTTTTGTTTTTTAAGCAATCACTTAAAAGATAAAACATCCAGCTCCAGTAGGGATTCAATCCCTTTAGCCTCAGAGGGCACTTGCACTCACAGACACACAGATAATTAAATATAATAAAAATGAATCTTTTTAAAAATACAATTTAGCTAATGAACTTTTTTTTTTAAGGTTTACAGGGGTGCATGTGGGATGTGAGCCATAGTTAGTTTGCTGGTCCTTGTTGGTAAGGAAATGAGGATTAACCTTCCTATGAGATTAGGTTTCCTAAAATGATACCTGCACCGTATTAATACCCTACTCGAAAATCTCCATAGGTGCTCCATGCCAAACAAGTACAATCCCTATAGTGCCTAACATGCACAAGCATCTCCAGCTCCAATCCACTATCCCAGGCTTTCAAACTGAACCCTAAGACCTGACTACATACACCGACCTGCTTCTGCACATGTGTGCTGCTTCCCAACCCAGTGTTCTTTCCTTCTGCTCCTGACTTGACTAAATATTCTTCCTTCAGAACACATTCAAATCTTACCTCTGCATAACTCCACCCTCCTCAGAATTTCTAAATACACTATCTCAATTTAACAGATATTTAGTTGATGCTCTGAGTTATAATGTACTTCAAACAAACGCGAAATTCATGGAAGGCAGGCATCAGTTTACACCCCTCAGTCAATGGATTTTACAACATATAACAAACTGTAAATAAGATAAAAGACACATGTGTATGAATGTATGTGATAAGTGGACAACTTTTTTTTTTGTCTAAAATAGCTAGTTAACTGAAGCCCATGTGGTTTTACTCTTCTCTCAATAACTGAATACTTTCATTCTATATGTACAACCTGACTACTAGACAAGACACAAAATGACAATCAACAAACACATATTTCCTCAGTTCTTTTGGTTTGTTTCTTTTGTTTTTTGAGACAAGGTTTCTCTGCATAACCTTGGCTATCCTGCAACTCAATCTGTAGACCAGAGATCGGCCTGCCTCGGCCTCTCAAGTGGGATTAAATTCTTCAGTTCTTTTTTTTTGGTTTTTCAAGACAGGCTTTCTCTGTCTAACAACAGTCCTGGTTGCTCTGGAACTCTAGACTAGGCCAGCCTCAAACTCACTGAGATCTGCCTGCCTCGGCCTCAGCCTCGATCTCCTGAGTGCTGGAATTAAAGGCGTTTGCCGCTACCGCGGCCACCCCACCCCACCCACCACCACCCACCCCCACCCAGTAAACTTCTCAGTTGGTTATGGACTAGCTGACTAGAGAAACAACAGCAGAGTACAGATAAAACCTCCCAACGGGTAGGTCATTATTTCAGCATCGGGACACTAGCTTAACACTACAGGTTCAAGTTATCAGACCAACCGTACATTACATACCTATAATTTTGCTTCATTTGTTTTTAGGATACAAACTAAGCTTTTAAAACTAAACTGTTTTAAGTTTTCCCTTAATTTCCTCACTATTAGTCAAATTTAAAAAGTCTCATACCCCTCAAAAAAAAAATCATACATCTGAATTCCAGTAAGGTATTATGCAGTCCACCCAAATTTTAGAAAAGAATAGAATTAGCTATATCAACACTTCTAAGGAAATAGTCCAGGTTTATTTACTACTACTAAGTATCTATAATCAGGATTTTTTTGAACCAGATTAAAGGCTACATCCTGTGTTTTGAACACTAAGGAATTCTAAAACCAAGTGTCAACTGTGTCCAATTTTACTACCCATATAAATGTTTAACAATCTAAAAATTTTTCTCCAGAATATTTGCCCAGATTCTAATGTAAGCTACAACAAAAGTTTAAAACATTTGTAACAAATGTAAACTGGGCGGTGGTGCACACCGTAAATCCCAGAATTTGGGAAGCAGAGGCAGGCAGATCTCTGTGAATTTGAGGCCAGCCTGGTCTGCAGAACTCAGCTCGGGCTACACGGAGAAACCCTGTCTGGAAAAACAGAAGTATAGAAAAGCCACAATGAATAAATGCCAAAGATAGCCATAATATGAAAAATGTGACTTTCTAATTCTCCAAAACATACTGGAGTGTGTGGGGGGGGGCACTTATTTATAAGCCTGCTGTTTAACAATGAATAATATTAATAGTGCATTGATTTAAAAAGGGCACACTCAGGAGGAGCCAGAGATCCCAAGGCTTGTTCGATTCCTGTTTTACCACTCTCCTAGTCTTGGGTGCAGCACTAAATCTCTCTGTTTCCCCATATACTGACACAAGAATAGCTTAACTGACATTTTCAGGTTGTGAGAACTGATTAAAAGTATGAAGTACTTCGGGATCATGAAGGGAACCACACTGTAGGGGCATCAAATGTCATACATACTTATCTAATGCAAAAACTACAGCTACCTGTTAGCAGGAGCTCCAAACCCAAGTGCAATTCTTTTGTGTCTTAGTAGGGAGAATCCCCTGTGAACCAGTAAGGTGCATGCACTTTCAGAAGCTGGTTGAACAATCTCAAAGAAAACCACTGCCTTTCAAACTTTCCCAAAAAAAAAAAAAAAAAATCGTGTCACTATCCAACCCTAGTACTCGAAAAAGACAACATGAAGTTCAGGGCCAGTTGTTGATAAACCTATATAGACTAGAGACCAGAAGTCATCACGGAGGAACTTTTCTTTGTTACCATACCAGAAAATGTGACCCCTGAAAATCATCTCAAAAGGCAATCCTCATTGAGAGTTGTGTACTAAAGGGAAAACGGCCCTAGCCTTTTCTTACCTAAAAAACTCCACATGGTTTTTTGTTTTGCTTTTTTTTTTAAGAGAGTGCAGACAAGAAGGCAGAATTCTCTCAAAACGTAAGCTAACCGGACAGGTCGTCCAGCACTCGGTGCTGAGCGCCGGGTACTGAAGAGGTTGCTGGGGGGGAAAAGTGCTGATGCCATCTCCAGCTGCCCCTGGATGACAGTTAACAATGCAAACACTGACAAAAGAGCTAGGAGGCCACCCAGAGCCCCTGCCTGGCAGCACCTCTGCCCGAGCCTCCACATACAAAGCGACAAATCCCCTAGAGGCCCTGGGCTGACAGCTCTTCCCAGCGAGACCGAGAGTGGCAACATGAAGTGGGGGAGAAAAGTACTGCTTGTCACTCCTTGCAGGGGCGCGGGGTGCCTCGAGGGTGAGGGCAAAGGCTGCGGTCCTCTCGGCCGGCCCCTGGCACGAGGACCGCACCGGCTCCGTCCTTCCCCGCGGCTAGCGGCCGTCCTCCGGAGCCCCGCAGCCCGCGCTCGCCCCGGCCGGGACCCGGCTCGACCCGGCTCGCCCCGGGCTTCGGCTCGGCGCGGCCCGGCAACTCCTCGCCCAACTCCGCGGGCGCCAGGCGGCCGGCCCGAGCGCCGGGATGGAGGAGGCGGCGGCGCGGCCCGGCCCGCTCCCTCCGGCACGCGGTCCGCGCCCGCCGCCCGCCGCCCTCCGCCCGCGTCCCCGCCCGCCCGGCTCGGCCACCCGACCCGACCCGACCCGGCCCGGCCCGGCTCCCTACCTGAGGCGGTGTACCAGCTCCCGGCGTGGCTGGCTTCCCGGCAGACCACTCGGTTGGACATCTTGGTGCCTGTGCCGCCTATGGTGCACGAGGATGAATGAGGAGGAGGCGGCGGCGGCGGCGGCGGCGGCAGCAGCGGCGGCGGCGGCGGCTCCGCGAGGGGACGAGACGCCGCGGGCCCAGCCCAGGAGGAGGCGGCCGCGGGGAGGGGACCGGCCCGGCCCAGGAGGAGGAGGAGGAGGAGGAGGAGGAGGAGGAGAGGGAGGAAGAGGAGGAGATGGCAGCCGGGGCGGGCGGCGGGAACGATCAGCACAAACTCCGCCGGCCGCCGGAAGATAAGGCCCACGGCGGCTTCGCCCGAGCCGCCCGGCCGCGGAGTCGCCGCCGCCGCCGCCGCCGCCGCCGACGACGACGACGACAACGCCGCCGCCGCCGCTGCTGCTGCGGCCCTGACCGGGCTGCTTCCGCGAGCCGCCCCCCGGCCCGCCCCGCCGCGCGCGGCCTTGCGAGCCTCCCCGCTGACCCCACCCCCGTGACTCCGCGCCCTCCCCCACCCGCCCCGCCCCGCCCCGCCCCGCCCCCACCGCCAGGCCCCCGCCCGCCGGCCGCGCGCCCGCTCGGCCCCGCCCCGCGCCCTCCCCACCCCCCCGCCCCGCCCGCCGTGCGGCGCGCTCAACGGCGGAAGCGGGGTCGGGCGGCCGCGGGCGAGGTGGCGGCGATCGGTGCCACCACCGCCACCACTACCACCACCATCATCTTCATCATCCCCCACCACCCCACCCGCACCCCGCCGCCAACCCCCTCCCTACAGCCCGGGGCCGGGGCCGGGGCCTGAACCCGGGGAAGGCAGAACCCGGGAAGCCCACGCGTCCTTACTCTCCGCTCTACCGGGGCCGGCCCACTGAGCATGCCCAGCGCCGCGGCCGGGCCCTCCGAGGAGGCTCAGCGTGCACGCTCCGCTCTCCGGGGTTTAGCGCCAGCAGAGCTTGGGGAGGGGGGGGAGGGAAGGAGGCAGGGCGCGGGGCGCAGGACGCAGCCGCGAGGCGGGGAGAACCCCTTCCCTCCCTCCCCCCCCCCCCCCCCACCCAACCCCACCCCCGGCCTCCGCCTGGCTTGTCCCCGCGCGCCGCCGGCTCAGCATGCACACGCGGTCGCTGCCCGCCGGAGTCCAGTCGGGGTTCCCCCACCCCCACCCACCCCCGGCCACGGGGCGTCGTTGGTGGATTCCCACCCTCGGGGGTGTCGCCCGGGAATGCAAGTTCCAGGGCCGCGCTGGGAAGTTTCATTTGTAGGAACCGGGAGCGCGGCGGAGCGTACCGGGGAGGGGAGGCTGTAAGAATGCAGCCTTCGCTTCCCAGGCTCGTTCCCTCCCTCCTAATAGTGGCTTTGACACAGTTATGTTTACTAATTGTATCTTAGCTGTAACTGCAGTGTGGCAAAGATTGTCTCCGTTACTTCCTACTGTGTAAAATGGGGCGGGGGGGGTGACATTCGGCAAGGAGGGGTACCTGGGATTATGATGAATTAATGCTTGCGAAGAGCCGGACATGGTATAAGGCGTACTACAAATGTCACCCTTCACTTACCTTATTAAATCCCAGTATTCCACTAAGGGTCGTCAGCAAAGAATTCCAAGTTGGGTAGAATCAAACATGGAAGTGGTTTTGGCTTTGAAGTGCAGGATTCCAAAACTAGAAAGTGTAATAGTTGCCCATCTCCCAGAAAATATTTGGGGCCCAAATCATACAACGGGTATATCTTAGTTTCACATAAAACTAGATCCAAAGTAGATGTTTAGCTGCCTAATACCCAAATGCGGTGTTCCTTAACGCCATAACAATATACTTTTTGTTTGGTTGAGTGTTTTTGCCAAGTTCTCAAGTATTATGAGGATAGCTCTGTGGTTAATTTCAGTGACGAAAAAATAGAAGGTAGATTGCTTCTTTCTCCAAGAGCTTGTGTCGCTTATCAAACTTAGCAAAGACCACACTGACAAATAAAATGCAAGTTCTTGGGCTGAAGAAATGGCTCAGAAGTTTTAAAAAAAATGTACTGCTGTTGCAGTGGACCTAAGTTGAGTCACAGCACCCACATTGGACAGCTCCAGGGTGATCTGATGCCCTCTTCTGGCCTCCACAGGCACCTACGATTACGTGCACATACCCCACACCAATATGTAATTAAATGTTTTTAAAGATCTCTAGAATGCTTTCAAGTATAAATTTTGTTGATGGTCGTTTTTGCTCTTTTGGGGGCCCTGCCACCCGGCTCCCAAATAAATCACACACGGAGGCTTATTCTTAATTATAAACGCTTGACCTTAGCTTGGCTTGTTTCTTACCAGCTTTTCTTAACTTATATTTATCCCATCTACCTTTTGCCTCTGGACTTTTTCCTTTTCTTACTTCTGTAATCTTACTTTCACTCTTACTCTGTGGCTGGCTGGGTGGCTGGGTGGCTGTCCCCTAGCATCCCCCTCTCTTTGTTCTCTTGCTCTTTCTTCTTTCTTCCTCCCAGATTTCTCCTTCTATTCATTCTCTCTGCCTGCCAGCCCCACCTATCCTCTCTCCTGCCTCGCTACTAGCCGCTGTTCATCTCTTTACTAGACCATCAGGTGTTTTAGACAGGCACAGTAACACACTTCACAGAGTTAAACAAATGCAACATAAAAGAATGCAACACATCTTTGCATCATTAAACAAATGTTCCACAGCACAAACAAATGTAACACACCTTAAAATAATATTCTACAACAGACAATTTCTCTTCTAAGACCAAGTTTCACTATGTAACCCCGACTGGCCTGGATGGAACACCCAGTGTAAACCTGGCTGTCCTCAGAGATCCACCTGCCTCTGCCTTTGGAGGGACAAATGGCAAGTCAAGTGCCACCACAGCAGCTGTTTTGATACAGATCTTCCTATATACCCGACTGGCATAGACCTGAGTATGCACACCAGGCTGGCCTTGAACTTGCTGGGAACCCACATGCCTCTACTTCCCTAGTTCTGGGAGTACAAGCACACTCAGCTTATAGCCTCTTGAAAGAAGTCAGTTGAACCTATTCACTTCCACCTCCCTCAAATACTAACTTCATACTCAAGAAGTTTATTACAAATATTATATAATTTTCATTTTTATTTATATTTTAATACATAGTTATCAACAATTTCAGTTATGTACACTAGTGATTTGGGTTATGACATTCTATAAATGTTATTCATAGTAGAGGGCAATGAGAAAGTTAATACTCCATATGAAGCACAGAATAGAAACACCGTCCCAGAACCTAACACTAGTGCAGATAGCTTCCAAAACAGTATTTCTGGTCTTTGCTGTAGTAACCTAGAAACAGCAACAGTACCCATCATTAGAACACTTGTATTTGGCCGGGCGGTGGTGGTACACACCTTCAATCCTAGCGCTCAGGAGGCAGAGGCAGGCAGATCTCTGTGAGTTAGAGGCCAACCTGGTCTACAGAGTGAGTTCCAGGAAAGGCTCCAAAGCTACACAGAGAAACTCTATCTCGAAAAAACAAAACAAAGACGTGTATTTGTTTTGTTTTGAGACAGGGTCTTTCTAGCCCTGGCTGTTCTGCACCCCTGAGATCTGCCTGCCTCTACCTTCCAATGTTGGGATTAAAGGCATTTGTCACTCCACCCAGCTGGCTCACCTTTAAGACAAGGTCTCTCACCCCAACTAGAGTTTACTTGCTTAGACCAGATGGACCAGGCAAGCTCCTAGGAGCCTCCTCTGCCGCCTCAGCCTTAGGATTATAGGAGACACTGTCATTTTACATGATGTGGAGTATCTCAACTCAGACCTTCATGCTTCCACAGCAAGCAATTTACAGACTGAGCCATCTCCCCAACCCAGTAAGTTTATTTTTAATCTTTGTAGCACATGTGGATGTGGGTGCCTGCAGAGTCCAGAAGCTTCAGATCCTACGTGGGTGCTGGGAATCAAACCCAGATCCTCTGAGTGCTCTTAACTGCTGAGTCATCTCTCCAGACCCTGGATCTGCAGATACAAATGGAAACTACACTTCTACATTAGTCATAATGAAATTCTTTAATTGCAGCACTCAGGGCAGAGGCAGAAGGATCTCTGTGAGTTTGAGGCCAATCAGGTCTACATAGTGAGTTCCAGGATAGCCAAAGCTATGTAGAGACCTTATCTCAAAAAGGAAAAAAAGTGAATGAATTGGTAATGTAGCTCTGGTAGGCCTTGAACTCACACGGATCCACCTGCCTCTGCCTCCCAGTGCTGGGATTAAAAGAATGCACCACAGTGCATGGCCATTAAGGAGAATTACAAAAGGTATCGTATTAACATTACCTTCGCATAGGCTTTTAACCTAAAGACGAGATTAATATGCTTCCAGTACAGGGTTTCTCAACTTTAATACTAGTCTTGGCTTGAACTAGGTGACTAAGAGGGAATGATGGGCACATGGACTGTCCTGTGCCTTCTCAAGATACTTAGAATCCCTGGCTCCATCCTGATGACAGCAGAATCCCACTGCACTCATTGTCCATACATTACCGAAGGGGCAGACTTGACTCTCATTTGAAAACAACTGTTCTAGTGAATCGTGTTCCCTAGCTTTCATGGCACAACTTTCTCAGAGCCAGTGAGCTATCTCAATTTCTTCATAGGGGACAATAGGAATACACGCAAGACAAAAATACATATTTCTTTTTAATGTTATATGTATAAATGTTTTGCCTGAATATATATGTATATATATGTATATGTGTGTGTGTGTGTGTGTGTGTGTGTGTATATATATATATATATATATATATATATATATATATGCACCTTACTTATGTGTGCCTAGTCAGAAGAGAGGGTCATATCCCCTGAACTGGAGTTACAGTTGTGAGCCACTATGTGGATACTGGAAATCAAATCTGGGTCCCCTGAAAGAGCAACAAATGTCTAAGATGTCACCTCTTCGGTCCCGTATCTTGCAGAGATGCGACAATACTAAGGAGCAGAGTACTTGTTTAGTTATGAGAACACTGGTGGAACTGGGTGGAATGCCCCCCTGAGCACTTCCCAGCAGTGTTGTCTGAAGCAGGCTTTTAACCTCTCCAGTCGGTCTTCTTGTCTGCAAAATGGGAAAAAGAGCTCCTTTGCAGAGGTCAATTTCAGAGATCATTAAGTCAAATACTGCAAATGTGGTAGCCGTTACCTGATTACTACAAAGCTATCACATTCAAAACTACAAGCAGTTAGTTCATGGAAACAAACATAAAAACTATGCAGTAATGGTGTTTTAACAGTTTATTTTGAAGGTCTTTTCAAAAACAAAGTAAAAGACAATCTGAGAAAAAAATTGCACAGATGATACTCATTAAATAAGTATGGTGATTAAATCAGACAAGGGGATATGTTCTCTTCTGCAACTCCAGAAGAGAGTTCGGTGGTCCTGAAGGTTCCAGAGTGGGGAGGGGAATCATGGCAATTAAAGCTGCCTCGTAATCATGAAAATCTACAGTAGCAACCAAATGTTTCTTTTCTTCCCAAGTAATCAATTTCGATCTTCAAACTGTGCCTTATTTTTTAAAAGATAAGATGCTAGAAACTCAATGGGATTTGGCGGTCTGTAAAGCAAAAGAAACACCGAGGTTAGAAAGGTTCTGTCCGTACATTGATTTAAACACACCTTCTTTAAAAATGCATCTGTTTCATTTTCATTTCACAGTGAATGGCTATCTGTAATAAACATGGTAAATCAGGCAGGCAAGCTAAGGAGCCAAAATTAAAGTTTAAAAGGACTAAACACTGTTTTATAGCTTAAAACCAGTTATGAACTCAATTCTAAAACACAAGGGGTCCTGTTTAGTCTTTATTGATTATTGCTGCATGTATGCATGGCAGGAACAGATGCCTCACCCATTCGGAGGTCAAAAGACAACTCTGGAGCCAGTTCTCTCCTAGCACCTTCACATGGCTTCTGGATACTGAACTCAGGGAACCAGGTTTGCTCTGCTCAGCAAATGCCTTTACCTACTGAACCCAAATGCACAAGCTGAGGAAATGGAATGCTGCTTGCCTCGGGGAGACTTCTAGGATAGGAGCAGTGGTCAGCTTCATGATCTGAGTGTGTATTGCAAAGGTGTTTACTTTCAAGCTGGCCCATCGGGATGGTATACACCTTTAATTCTCAGCACTCTGGAGGCAGAGGCTAGCCTAGTCTACATAGTCAGTTCCAGGGTGATCATAACAACACAGTGAGAACCTTTTTAAAAACAAAAACAAACTCAAGCTGTATGCCTACAGAATGTGTAATTTCTTAAGTATTATCCTTCAGCAAAAGAACAAATACGGGGGGTGGGGGGTGGCAGCGGTGGCACACGCCTTTAATCCCAGCACTCGGGAGGCAGAGCCAGGCAGATCTCTGTGAGTTCGAGGCCAGCCTGGTCTACAGAACGAGATCCAGGACAGGCACCATAGCTACACAGAGAAACCCTGTCTCGAAAAACCAAAAAAAAAAAAAAAAAACAACAAATAAAAAATGGACATGTCATTAGCAACATCAGCACACATGAACTCACAGATGACTGGTCAAGGCATTAGCATTCATTTAGACAGCCTGCTTTAATTTTTCTTCAAATCTCTTATTACATTTATTTTGTGAGAGGCATGGCACTTGTGTGGCAGGGTCCTGGGGAATCAAACTCAGGTCGTCAGGCTTGGTGGCAAGCCTCTTTACTCACTGAGCTATCTTGTCAGTCAAATTTTTTGAATTAATATTTATGAAGCTACAACAACCAATTCTCACCTGAGGAAACCAGATAAATTTACAAGGTATAACTCCGTATTTATCACTTTGATGCAAGTTATTCTTGCTGAAAATCTGTCTAAATATTCAAAATTGGGTAAATGTCTCAATTCTACTGCTTCAAAAGGCATACAAAAAAACCGAACATAATGGCATGTCTGTAATCCTAGCTCCAAACCAGCCAGGTTTATGTTATCAAGTTCAAAACCAACTGGTACAAAATAGCAAAGTTCTCCCTCAGCACAGTGAGTGGCGAGTGGTTCCCTGTGACCAGTAATCCCAGGATTTGGGAGACGGAAACAAAAGGGTGACAGCATGGGCAGAGCCAGTCTCTACAGAGATGGGTGCTGCCGCTCATGTGTGTAACCCCAACACCCAGCACTGCAGGACAGGTGCCTGGAGTACAAGTTCTTTTTATGTGGAAAATGTGAGTTCTTTTTATGTGGAAAATGCGCGCCTGGGCTACACAGAGACACACTCTCTCAAAAAACTCCAAGTAAAGGGATGGAGAAGCAGCAGAGTACTGGCCTGGCGTGAACAAGGTACGAGGGTTAAACCCTGGCGCGCTGCATCAACCGGACAAGGTGGCACTTGTAATGCCATCTCACGTGAGAAGCAGAGGCCAGCAGGGTTGGGGGGTAGGGAGGAGAGGAAAGGAACGAGGGAAGGTAGAGAGGATAGGAGGAAGGGAAGTCAGGGGAAAAGGACAGACAAAAGAAAGGCCAGACACGGTGCCATAGGAGGAAGGGACAGACAGAAGAAAGGCCAGACACGGTGCCATATTCCTATCATCTCAGTACTTGGGAGCCAGAGGCAGACAGATCTCTCGAGTTCCATACCAATCTGGTCTACCTAGCCAATTCCAGGCCAGCCAAAGATACATGCTTGAGAGACCCTACCCCAAAAGGCAAGCAGGCAACTGAGTCACCATGATTAAAAAAAATAATTCCCCCATGCTAGGCATGGTGGCACAGACTTTCTTTGTTTTTTTCCTGGGGGGTAGGGGAGCGGGGGCGGAGAATATCAGACAGGTGGTGGCACATGCCTTTAATCCCAGCACTGGGGAGGCAGAGGCAGGAGGATCTCTGAGTTTGAGGCCAGCCTGAGCTACAGAGTGAGTTCTAAGACAGCTACACAGAAAAAGCCTATAAAAAAAATTACTTATGTAATATATATATATGTGTGTGTGTGTAATAATATATATATATATATATGAATGGTCTGACTGCACATATGCCTGCACGCCAGAAGAGGGCATCAGATCCCATTACAGATGGTTGTGAGAAGCCAGGCGGGTGCTGGAAATGGAACTCAGAACCTCTGCTGAGCCATCTCTCCAGGTTCTGCCTGTTTGTTTGTTTTTTGAGACAAAGTAGCCCCTGGCTGTCCTGGCACTTGCTCTGTAGACCAGACTGGCCTCAAACTAGGAGATCCACCTGCCTCAGCCTCCCCAGTGCACCACCACCCCGCATGCCATTATTGCCTGCACTAGAAAGTAAGAGATATGTCCTGTAAGTTCCAGGACAGCCAGGGCCCTTAGAGAGACCCTGTCTCAAACAATAAAAAAAAAATCTTAAAACATTTCCCTTTGCACTTTAAACAGCATCCAGGGCAAGCACTCTACCACTGAGCTACAACCTCAGCCCTAACCCTTTTTCTTTTCTTGAGAAAGATAACAGTTACACAAACCAGTCCACCAGGAACTCACAGTCCTCTTGCCTCAACCTCTCAACTGCTAACATCAACACACCGCACCAGCATATTCTTCTGAGCTGCCTATAGACATCACTTTCACCAAATAATTAGGTTAACCTAAGGACTGATTTTTTTTTTTTTTTTTTTTTTTTTGGTTTCTTGAGACAGGGTTTCTCTATGTAGCTTTGCACCATTCCTGGAACTCATTTGGTAGCCCAGGCTGGCCTCGAACTCACAGAGATTCATCTGGCTCTGCCTCCCGAGTGCTGGGATTAAAGGTGTGCGCCAACCACCGCCTGGCCTAAGGATTGATTTTACAAAAACTCTTTGCATGGGTGGGAGGAGGGAAAACAGGGAATCCATGGCTGATATGTAAAATTAAATTAATTATAAAATAGCCGGGCGGTGGTGGCGCACGGCTTTAATCCCAGCACTCGGGAGGCAGAGGCAGGAGGATCTCTGTGAGTACAAGGCCAGCCTGGGCTACAAAGTGAGTTCCAGGAAAGGCACAAAACTACACAGAGAAACCCTGTCTCGAAAAACCACACACACAAAAAAATTAATTATAAAATAAAAATATTTTTTAAAAAATAAATTATAAATTTATAAACTCAAGTTCCATTTGCTTTTGGGATACCATCTTACAAGGACTCCAATTTGCAGTAAGGCTCGTTAAGGGAGGAAATGGCTCAGTTGCCTTTAGCCTACTGGCTATGGGTAGGTTAGGACTTCTGTTGGTCTTTTCTGTGTCAAGAACACACAGATTGCAAGCCCAGCCACTTTGAGATCTCTGGCAGCAGTTAACTCTGCAGCTCACACAGGACTGAGCCTGTATGATAATGAGTATTCAGAGACAGGTAATACCTGCGGGGGGCGGGGGGGGGGGGGGGGGGGGGGGGGGGCCTCACAAACCTAAGACAGAATGCCTGTGTGGCCTGGGCAGGCATCTCCATGACGGGTAAGGTGACCTGCTGACGTCCCACACAACCTAAGTCAGAAGTTCATTTTTTAGTAAAGGGGGACCTATAGGGTCCTGGCCCCCCGTTTTGGGTAACTGTTGCCTTGCTTGCTGACCTTGATATCCTCCCTATGCTAATTTCCTGCCAGGTTCCACCCTCCTGAATGCTTAAGGGAAGTTCCTTGTCTGTGTATCCTGCATAATGGGGGCGTTAACACCTTAGATGCAAGATTGTAAAACATTGGTAGCAACTTCTGCCCTCCGGGGTTCTCCCATTGTGCTGTAAGCCTGTATTTAAGACCTCCTCCCTCCTTCAATAAACAGCATTCGGCATTAAAAAAAAAAAAAAAAAAAAAACTCTTTGCTTATTAATTCTATTTACAAACATATTATTAGTTCAAATTGCCCTAGTTTTTTTCTTCTAGCACTTAACAATTCAGAAGCTCAAGGTCATCCTAGCTAGCTACAAAGGAAGTTTGAAACCAATTTAGGCTACAGACAACCCTGTCCCAATAAAACAATAATAGTGATTTAAATTTTAAATTAAATAGAATTTCTAACATACCAGCCTTCTTTGGGGAAAATGAAAATATAAGAGTCCCTTTTGGGGTGGTGCTGGGGATTGAACCTGGGACCTCAGGCACACCAGGGCAGCACCCTACCACTAAGCCCTTACTCCAGCCCAACCACATTTCAGTCATCAACAGCAGAGACATGGTATTTTCAGTCATACATAAATCTTATTTTATAAACATAAATAACCAAGCAAAAACAAAAGACAAATATTTATTACATTCATTTAGTCAGTAACAGCCATGTATATTCCAAGCATATGCTTCAATGAACAGTGTGTGTATGTGTATATGTGTGTGTGTGTGTGTGTGTGTGTGTGTGTGTGTATTTCTTTTTAAGCATGTATGTCTATTTTGCCTACATGTATACTTATGTCCACAGAAGCCAGAAGAGCGCATCAGATGCCCTGGAGCCAGAGTGACAGACGGCTGTGAGCCTCCATGTAGATGTTAATAAACACAGGTCCTCTACAAGAGCAGCAAGTCCTAAGCCATCTCCAGCCCATCTTTGTTTCTTTTTTTTTTTTTTCCTCAGAGCTGAGGACCGAACCCAGGGCCTTGTGCTTGCTAAACAAGCGCTCTACCACTGAGCTAAATCCCTAAGCCCATCTTTGTTTCTTAAAGACAATGTTTCACCACATAACCCTGGCTGGCCTGAAACTCGACGAGGAGATGAGATGATCTGCCTGCCTCTGCCTGTGTGATGAGATTGAAGGTGTGTGCCACCACAATCAGGACATACAACTTTTATATAAACTAACATATCATATCAATCTCTGCCAGCACGATGGCGTATCAGGGAAGACCCCTGCCACCAACCCTGATAACCTAAATTCAGTCCTCGTAACCCACATGCAAAAAGAGAAAAATAACTCCTAAAAATTGTCCTCTGACCTCTACACTCACACCCTGGCATACACACATGCATATGCAAACATATACACTCTCGTAAACACATACAACTAAATATAACAAAATCTAATCTATGTTACTAATTTATGTCCATTTACTACAGAGATTATTACTGTCCTAGATTTAAATACAGCATACACCCAACAGAAACTGACTAGTTTACAAAACAAATTTGCTTATTTGTTTACAAAAAAAGAAATTAGAAGCTGGATATGATAGCTCACATCTGTAATCCCAGTACTCAGGACACAGTATGCAAATGAGGAGTCCATGGCCTCCTTGGTGGGGGGGGGGGGAAATAGGGCTAGAGTGAAGGCTCAGCAGTAAAGGACACTACTGGCTGCTCTTTCAGAGGATCCAGGTTCAATTACCAACACCCACTGTTACCTAACAGCCAGTGAAACTCCAGTTGCAAGGCATCCCATGCCATCTTCTGGCTTCTGTGAGCACCAGGCATCCACGTGGTGCACAGACACACTTGCAGGTAAAAACACACACACATTGAAAAATAAAAATAAATGAAACAAAACACAAAAAAAAGAGTTTCTGTAAGGATTATTGAGATACATGTAGAAATAAAAAAAAAAAAAACTGCTCCTGAAGAAAGAAATAACTTCTAATAAACAAATGTACTGGCAAAAAAAAAAAAAAAAAAAAAAAAAAAAAAAGCTCTTTATAGCTAGCTGGGAACATAACTTAATAGCAGAATGTTTGCCTATCATGAGCAGGGTCCTCAGTTTGAAGCCCAGAAGAGTTCATAATAATCCTGTACTTGAGACAAATGACACTAGAAAAATTTAAGGGAAAAATATTGGACAGAAATACAAATTACAGCAAATACTGTATAAATACTGTATAAAGTCAAACTTCATTAAACTAGAAAATCAATTCTTGGTGACTGGTCATTAAAAAAATAAGCAAGCACAGCAGAAAGGTATGAAATAAATTATAGTAACAAAGGAAAATGGAGCTAAGTGTTCAACAATATGGAAAATGGATCTGGGTGAAACCTAACTGTAATCCTAGCAATTAGGAGTTAGAGGCCAAAGGATCAGAGTTCAAGGTCAGCCTGAGCTATTTGAGACTGTCTCAAACAAACAAACAAACAAACAAGGATATAGCTCAGCAGGCAGTGACTGTACAGCATACTCAGGGGCCTAGACTCATCAAGAACCACATAAACCAGATACGGTATCATACTTCCCATAATCCAAGCACGGGATCATCCTGGGCTACATAGTGAGTTCAAAGCCAGCCAAGGCTACATGTCTAAAAAGGAGCAGCGGTAAAATGCCTAGGTTTACTGTGGTATTATTGTAATTTCAATTGTAACAATTAGCTGGGCGGTGGTGGCACATGCCTTTAATCACAACGTTCTGGAGGCAGAGGCAGGTGGATCTCTGAGATATATATAATATATATAATCAGTGTAGACTACCTAGAACCATGTTATCCTGAAGTAAAAACTTTACAAAATTACCTGCAGACTATACAGGAGTTGAAATCCCAGCATCCACCCACACGGTGGCTCACAATCAGCTCTGTAACTCCAATCTTGATACAACATCCTCTTCTAGCCCACATGATGCTCAGACATACACCCAGATAAAATGCCCACACAAATAAAGTGAATGAATAATTAAAAAAAAAAAAAAGTTTTGGGGAGGCAGAGGCAGAGTTTGAGGCCAGCCTGGTCTACAGAGGGAGTTCCAGGACAGCCAGGGCTACACAGAGAAACCCTATGAAAGTTTAACAGCAATGGGGCCAGTAAGATGACTCCAGCAGGTAAAAATGCTTGACACTAGCCGGGCAGTGGTGGCGCACGCCTTTAATCCCAGCACTCGGGAGGCAGAGCCAGGCGGATCTCTGGGAGTTCGAGGCCAGCCTGGGCTACCAAGTGAGTTCCAGGAGAGGCGCAAAGCTATACAGAGAAACCCTGTCTCGAAAAACCAAAAAAAAAAAAAAAAAAAAATGTTTGACACTAAGCCTGATAACCTGAGTTCAATCCCCAAGATCCACATGGTGGAGGGACAGAACTGGACTCCTAAAAGTTTACCTCCTTATGTCTACCACAAAACACACACACACACACACACACACAAATGTAATTCTACAATAAAATAACAATCGTGACATCACTGAACACAAACACAGCAAAGAACCATACTCAACTAATATTATTTTGGGTGTGGAAGTCCCACCTCGTATCTCCAGTCACAGACAGTATTATCTCACCTTTCCTTTGCAAGCACAGCAAGACCCTGTAATAAGATAGGCACAACTGTCTGATCCAGGTAGGCACGGGTTGGCAAAGACTGTAGATCCACCTTCTGTTTTGATGACTTCTCTGCATTAATCTTCTCATTTTCGACTATCCTCTAGTGATGTGGAAAAAAAAAAAAAAAAAAGCATGAATTTCCCAAAGTACAAGATTATTTTGAGAGCAAAACAAAAACTAAGGGGAAAAGGACACTAAGAGGAAAGCAAATCGTGACTAGAATGATACCAGACAGCAAACCTCTCCTCTGAAAGAAATGCAAGTCAATCCCTAATGTGGTGATACTTTATTTGTGCTCCAATAAATAAAGCTTGCCTGGAGATCAGAAAAAATGCCAGCCATTATAAGTAAACACAAAAGTCATGCAATGGTAGTGATAATTCTATCACTTGGGAGGCAGGGTCTATCTAGATCTATATGAATTCAAGACCATACTGGGAACAGAGCTGGGTGTGGAGGCACACGCCTTAAATTCCAATACAAGTTAACCATGAAGCTCTGGAGGTCTGTACAGACAGACAGGAAGTGACAGAGCTGGGCAGGAAGAGGAAGTGATGT